CTCTCTCTCTCTCTCTCTCTCCCTCTCTCTCTCTCTCTCTCTCTCTCTCTCTCTCTCTCTCTCTCTTCTCTGTCTCTGACTCTGTCTCTTTCTCTGGCTGTTTATCTTCAGACAAGGTTATGTCACACGAGCAATAGAAATATCCTCACATGAGCAGAGAGATTTAGGTGTAATTTATATCTTGAATTTATAATCCAAGATAAAAAGCATTTCGCCTACCATTAAATTAAGATATAATGCTTGCAGTTGTATTCATAGCAGACGTTATAATCAGTGAGGCATGGTTTATCACCACTTTCTATGGGAATACCAAATCTTCTTGAGAGCTACACTAGGAAACTAGTAGGCACTAGGTTTTCACTTAATTACTAGTTTGGCAGCCCTTGTCAGTTTTTTAAACTTTTTAATGGTTGTTTTCTAATTTCTCATTCCTTTGATATAACATCGTGTGGCATGTTTCAGGCACTGATAGTGGACCAGACGGTAGAGAAGGTGTCTTTCTGTGCCCCAGACAGGAACTATCCTCACGGCTTCAGCTACATTTGCCGTGATGGCACTACCCGAAGATGGATCTGCCATTGCTTCATGGCCATTGGATACTCGGTAAGTTGATGCTCTGTGTTTACACTCGGTAGTGGTCGATTGTCGACGTTACGCTGGCTGCATTTGTTCTCTCCCTGTCGATGATTCTGTCCTCTCATCCCACTCTCTGTGCTTTTTTTCTTTCGTGTCACCGACTTCTTTTTCGATGTCTTATATCCCAAACCTCGACAGGTCGTCTTATTTGCATCCTGTAGTATATAATATAATACTACACTGTCGTATAAATGTAAATCTCCCTTCCTGGGCAATGAGCTAGTGTCGATGATCTCCAACAGGGGGAGCAGCTGAGCCATGCTGTGGGCTGTGCCTTCACGGTGTGCTATGAGAAGAAGCAGGCGCTTGAGAAGGAAGCTGTGCGAGTGCAATTCAGCAAGGATCAGACTAGCTTCACACGCCTCGGATCGTTCCGCCAGGTATCCATAACGGAACGAATGCTCGACCCACAGGAGGTGAAACCTGCAGGTACGTGTCTGAAGATGATCGGGTGTAGTGCGGGTAACAACTCCCAGGTGGCACTGTTAATCATTCGCATGTAATATTTGGTGTCCTTACCATCACATTTATTTAGTATTTTAGTTATTATTTATTTATTCTCGTATTATTTTTGGCAATTTATAATTGATGTAATCTTGCTATCGTATGATGTGGTTTGAAAATAGTGTTACAGTGTTTTACTGTGGTACTGTCATTTGGAAGTTAGCAAATTGTGGGATTACAATGTATTGCCATAGATGACAGATTGCAGACAGCAGCGTGCAATAGTTGTTTATAGTATGCGGCAATATAGCTCCTCTTTCCTATCTCGTGTTAAACAGGGGTCAGTCAGCAAATTAATGCACCGTGCAACTGCAAAATAGTGTAGGGCCCCTACATGCTAGTTGTTCAAGCCACTGTATGTGCAAGCAATAATTGTATATACCATAAATGGCTATACCTAGCCTGGGAGCAGGTGAGGAGGACCTTTAAACCGATTTTAGTTCTTATAGATAACAACTATATAGAGCTAGGAGTTGATACTGGAGATAATAATGATAGATAAAGCGCTAAAGGACGTTGCCCTCCTATGTACCTTTAAAAGCCTTGGAAGTATAGTAGTTGGGCGGTTTACCTAGGATATTCAAACCTATTGTGAATTTTTTGATAAAAGCACCAATTTTGGCGCAGAGGTATACGAATATATTATGAACAAATTTGGATGTGGAGCCATCGCCCAACTGCTCCCTGGCGGCCGTGGCCGCCAGCAGACACCCAAAAGACACACAGAAGTTAGATAAAGTTTGCTGCTGAAGGTTTTAGTGAATGTTTATTGAATGTTTTGAATCAAGACATGCCAGATAGCTCTTAGTCACATTTTGGGAGATGCTGCTGATATTAATTAACATATTTAGGCTAATTGCAGATTAAATGGCGACAAGGAAACCCATGATCAGGCATCAAATGCTGATATTCCTTGTGAATAGGCTAGATTCATTTAAGTTGTGGAAATGTTATCTGACTTTCTTTCTCTGTCTGTCAATAGCTATTCATGGACACTGCCCACACCAATTAAGATGCTAATTAACAAAATTATTAACACAATTAGGCTAATTACATCGATAATAGTATTAATACAACAACAATAACAGAACCAGATAGTGATAATTATGGTGGCTTGCTCTCATCAGATCAATCCTGGGCAAGTCAAATGTTATACTTCTGTGGTCAAGGGACACTACTACATTTAATTATCATGTTAATTAACACAATATAAAGGGACTCTAGGTTCCACATCCAAATTTGTTCATAATATATTGGTCTACCTTTATGCCAAAATTGGTGCTTTTATCAAAAAATGCACAATAGGTTAGCTTACCCGCTGTACTATAGGACCTTTCAGTAGCAAATGTTCTTATGCTGGCACTGGCTTTGTTATAATTAATATATTAACTGCGTATGTTGTGCAATAATTTTGTGACTGTAATAAACCGTAAGCATGGGGTTAAAGTCTATTATGAGATAATAAGTCATCCAGTAAATAAAACTCTTATTATCCTCATAATTTATTATCATTGTTGTTGTCAACGTAACTATCATTGTTATTTAGCTGGCTGTCTGAAACTCGGCAAGTAGGTCAAATGAAATTAGGATGAGCGTCTAAATAGGCATGCAGCTGTGGGTTCCATTATTCTCATACCCAACATGCAAGGGCGTAGCCAGGAATTTGGATTGGGGGGGGGGGTCCTCGAGCGAGTACCAAGGGGGTCTGGTGGTCTGAAATTATTTTTTTGAGTTAAATGTAAAAATAGTGCTTTAAAATCAATTTAGACGCTGTTTTGTTGACAATATTATTTCTTCTGCAGCTCTACAACGACACCGATGCCGTGGCCGATCCAAGATTCTAAGGAGGGGGATTAAAACAGGCAGGGGGTATGGGGGTCCTAGCTCCCCCAGAAAATTTTGAAAATGTAGATCGCAGGAGATGGTATTTGAGGCACTTTTGAGTACATGTACGGCCTTCATTCTGACTACGACAATTCTATTTTTAGTGGAACAATTTTTGTTTTTTTTTGTTTTTAGACTTTCGGATCAACAAGGGGGCCATGGCCCCCTCTACCAAGCCACTTTTTTAACGTACATTTTTTTAACGAGGCCAGGATTAGGCCAGCTACGCGCTTTTAAGAGCAATTTTTATTTATTTATATTTATATTTTTATTGGGGGGGTCCTAGGGCCCCCAGGACCAGCCACCCCCCCCCCTGGCTCCGCGATTGCCAACATGCTCATCCGTGCATCATGCTGTCAGTCATGATATGACTGTGCCCGTGTCATAATGCTCAATCACATTGCTTCAGGGCCGGTGCCATTGTTGTGGGGTGCTGTCGGCACTGACTGTTTATTGCTCACCTGGCATTCTCACCTACATATCGTGCATACGGTTATATCATCATAGTTGCTTCATAGTGGAAGGTCACGTTGCCTCAGAGTCGGCGTCTTCGTCGTGGGGTGCCATCGGCACCACGACAGTTCATTGCCCACCCGGCATTCTCACCTACATGTCATGCTTACTGTCATTAAACCCACCTACCATTGTTGCTACAGAGCCGGTGCCGTCGCGAGAGGTGGACAACCCGTTTGCGGTGGCGCGGCCGCGGGCCACCGCAGAGATGCTGGAGCGGCAGGGCTCGGCGCGATTCGGACACATCAACGACACGGCGCCGTTCAAGCGCAACCTGTCGCTGCGACTCAACGAGCTTCCGTCGACGGTGGCGCGGAGAGAGAACACATTCAACGCTAGCGCAAACACAGGTGATCAGCCGACGGCCTGTCGTCGTGCGCCATACTGCTGCGCCTGTTCTGGAGAAACTGAGGGGGGTGCGAAGACGGGGATGTCTTAGTTTTCCAAACTTGTCCCTCGTTAGATGGCCGTGCTGTATCTGTTCTTGCATTGCCTCTTCTTTTCATTTTGGCTAGCTGCAGTATCTTGTCTCGGCCTATCTAATGTTGCTAGCAGCCGGTGACATCACAGCTATTTGCCGCTTCCCTTTCCGCAGCAGTGAGCCCCATCATGGAGGAGGCGGCGATGAGCGAAGATGCGATTGCGCAGCTCTGCCAGCAGATCACGCAGGACATCGACACGATGAACACAGACGGCACGCGGATGGGCTTCACCAACAATGTCGTCAGCCAGTTCGACCCGCTGGTGGCTGGAGGTAAGTCACGCTCTCTCTTACCGCTGTCGTATTACTGTTTGCTGTCTAACTCAGGGATTCTTAACCTGTGGTCCACGGACGCCTTTGGGGTCCGTGGATGGGCTTCAGGCAGTCCGTGAACCCCACTGCAGAATTTTGTGTTCATGTGCTTATGTGCATTTTTCTGGGGAGAGGTCCGTAGCTTTCACCAGATTCTCAAAGGGGTCCATGACACAAAAAAGGTTAAGAACCACTGGTCTAACTGTTAGTTGCACTATAGTGTGTGTAGTCTCATCGTGGGATGTCTGAGACTGAAAGGTACAGGCGGGAGAAGGAGGGAGGAAGCATGAAAGGGGTAAGAGAATAGGTACATGAGGTGAGAGTGAAGTTAGGGAGGAGTGAAGGGAATATAGGGCGATGTAGAGTACGAAAACATTAAAACTTTGGTATTAAATGTAAGTGGTGTTTATTTACTGTAAATTTCATTATTAATGTAGCATATATTTCTATCCATAGGCCAATTGTCATCGTTTTCTAACACGTGCCACATGTATTTTATAGGAGATACGACTGTCAGGTCCCCCCCGTGGCAGGTCAACTATCCTGCAAACCCCAACCCATCGGATCCATTCAACTCTAAGTGGGCAGCATCATCTGTGCAACCAGCGAGCAGCACCAATCCGTTTGTCACTAGTCACCAGCCGTCCAACATAAAGGCCTTCACCGTGCAGATGTGACGCCTGCAAATGCAGAGTTTTGTACATACGACACCCGAACGCCATTAGAACGGTGATGCTAACACAGAACGTGCGCGTTACTAAGCAAGCGTGTATAGGCACTGCTCGCGTTACTGTAGCATGCCCACGTGTAGAGAGAGATGCCCCTGCCGATTGCAAAACATTCCGTGGACTATGATGGTTATGATGAAGGACGCCATTACTGGTCGGCTTTACGATCACGTTCGGTTGCCTTGCAGCTTCGTGGGGAAAGATCCCGACAGCTTAAGTCTGGCGCACATTGCCGAACATTTTCCCGAACAAATGTTTTTGTCTGGCAATGTGCGGGTGAACAATTGTTGAGCGCACATTGCCGAACATTTTGCAGCGAACAACCTTGTGGCGCCGTCTAGTAGCTGTGTTGTAAAGAGTCATGTGATCGGCGCATGATTGGGCACAAAAATCATGTGACCACATATCGTGCTGCTATTGGTTACTACTTTACAATTGTTCGACATTCAGCGCACATTGACGAACATTCGACGAACAATGTTCGAGATATCAAACATTTCCGATCTTCAGAAACATTGTTCGGAACAAATGTTCGGCGACTTTTTTAAATGTTCGGCAATGTGCGCCGGGCTGTAGCCGTGAACTCAAAGCTGCAGTGAATAACAATAATTACAACGGAGCAAGAATTACGTGGAGCACATGTATATATTCTAATAATACTAGCGCATCATTCGCGCACGAGTCAGCGTGCACTTGCCATCGTCAAAATCTTCATGCTTTCTTTGGTGTAGACTCTAAGCACAGTGATTCAACCTCGTTATTTGTTGCTTTTGTTCCAATTGTCATAAGTAATTGTCTTTCCATTCTGTATGTATATTTCGATTGATTGAAATGGAATGATAACTGCTGTAAGTTGTACCTATATTTTGTGGTTGCGGATAATCCTAGTTAATATGTTTAGAATTATATATATATATATATATATATATATATATGTGTGTGTATCTACCCAGGTAACACCACTTGCCAATGCCAAACCGCCTATACTTGGATGGATATTCACTCATTCTTTTACTATTTTATATCAGCGTCCTTGCGGTATAAAGAAAATCGTATTATTAGTTATCATTATTGGTATTATACTATACATGCTAGATGTAACACAAATTAGTTATGTTATAATGAATTATTTTGTAAGAAAATCTTTTAAAATATGTAATTACTCTATCGAAATGTAATGGTGGCAGTGTTTACAGCATCTGCAAAATGTTATATTTTTGAAAATAACTGGAACTTACTAGTGACATTATCCATGCAGCTTGAGAAAAAACATTTCCACGAAATACTGTGATTTGACATTTTATAATCAAACAAACAAACAAACACACACATATATATCAAGAGTTCATAATAGAGATTATCATTTATGATCTATTATGAGCTCTTGATATATATATATACATATGTATATATATATCGGGTTTTTCTCTTCCATATTTTTCTATGAAAAGGTATGGTACCTGATATAGGGGATTGCGCGCAGATCCCCAAAACCCGCCGTTCTTCTGCAGTGCTGTAGTACCCTTGCGTAACTTTGCGCCTGTGTAGATTAGTATGATCAGGAGTAGATAATAGGGATTATCCCTATTATCTACTCCTGGTATGATCATAGAAATAACATACTAGTTAGGCTTTATGTATTTCTATGACTATGAGACAACTAACTATACGGGTTGAGACGAGATAGAACACTAGAAGAGTTTGCTGTGGAGGGCGCCGTAGGATATTGTGCCACATACCAGGATGTAATTTTTTTCAATCTAATTTGCACCGTATTACATAGCTTATGTAATTTGATAATGTGAAACCATTAGGTTTGTTCCTGCTGTAGTATAGAGGCGATATGATGTGATGTGGTCTGTCATACGATGAGTTCCGTTAGAAATATATTCCTTTGTATCGTATGTGATATATTTCTGTTTCTATGTAAATGCTTGCCAATATGTAGACATACGTGCCGTGTACATTATGTGAGTGTCGCACACTGTTTCCGTTACCCTTTCTCGCTCTCTCAGACTCCAATAAAATGTTACAAACTGATACTGTATAACAATATATGACAGTGTAAGTTCTGCGCGTAGGTTAGCGTCATGTATATCAGCCTATGTAGATTAGCGGCGTGTGCGAAACACAGTCGTGCTAGTGAGTATTCGAACAGGCTGTCTCTCTCTCTTCCCCTCTCCCTGTCTCAGCGCGATACAACAGTCAATACAGAAACAAGTTTAAGGAGAACTTGGTCATTTTATTAAAACCCAATACGAGTTTTATTATACAGTACGCGATCTTTAAATAATAATTCTGTGTTGTATATACAAAGTGAGGGAATTACACGGTGTAACTGCACGGGTGCAGGAGGTCTTATCAACAACATTGTGGATGAAGTTTACCGTAAAAACTACACTAACTTTACATGTATCTAAAACTAGACTATAGTTTTGTACATAACACAACACGTTGTGGCAGTTATAGCAGGTTCGTGATGGCGGCATGGTCGCCTGACGGTGTTGTGTAGAACATGTTCTGCTCGTCACATTCCTCGCCGTATACATAGTGCTTGCATTCGCCGTCTACGCACATCTCGAGTAACTAACTACGAAAGCAGTGGGCACGTATGTGTACATATATATATATATCTACCCCTGTATGCATATATACGTACGTACGTACATAAATACGTATATTGAGCGAGCAGGAAAGCTTGCTCGAATCGTGCCAATCCTGACGATTTTCTCGAACCGAAATGAAATATTTTAAAATATAAATTACGCAAAAATAACCGCTCAACCGAGTGACCTGGTCGGAATTCACAGCACACTAATGTAACAAGCTGGTCAGCGTCACATCACACCAGCGACCGCAGAGTGACCTGCTGGGTCCCGTTGTCACACCCATCACAAGTAGTTATGACGTCATAATCTAAAATGTCATCAGTCAAGCAATTGTCATGCAAAATTTGTGATATTTTGCACTTATGATAATCATAACAATTTATAATTTTTCTAAAAATGGGCCCGCGATCATCCATCATAACAGCGTTGCAGATAGCTTGCTAACCACATGAGACAGCAAAGCAGCATGCTCTGTCAGGACAACCACTCGGGCAGCGAAGGCACGTACTACACTAGTAATCATCACACAACCACGGCAACACGCCTAGATATCGTCAGGTGTGTCATAATACAAACATGTCTATACAATGACACTCCTGCTAGCGTTGCATCAGGTTCTAGCTGTAACACAACCACCAGGACGAAAATGCAGTCGGCAAGCTAGAAATGAATCAGATATCCAGTATCGCATCAAGCTCATAATCACGTAACTACGCATACCAGGTCGGCATAATTATAACATCATGCTAACGAAAGAAGGTGACAAGTTGAGCAGGAAGGATGACTATATACTAGGGCAGATTCTGGTTCCCAGTCATTACATTACAGCATAGATATATACAACACAAGTTTGTGTTGTGTTGTATATATCTATGATTACAGCTGGTGAAAGCCTACGCCGTGGCACAAGCATATAAGGTGCGTGATTGCAATGATATATAAACGGCAGGAACGGCTTGATATTATTATGCAGCTGTGCAATATATTATGGCAACTATTCCCGCACATCTCTCTCCCTCGCAGACGTGCACCGATTCCCAACACACATACGCAGGCGCGCACGCACGCACGCACGCACGCACGCACGCACGCACACACATATATACGCACACACTCACATACGTAGACAGACACACGCAGGAACGCACGCACGCACGTACGAACTCACGCAGACACACACACACACACACACACACACACACACACACACACACACACACACACGCACAGGCACACGCCAGATACATACACACAGACCTACTTGGTAAATAATGCACAGCTTGATTGCTATTTCTCGTTAAATGCAAACATACTGCGCGTGAAAACGTTCTTTCACTCACAGATATTCTGCCGCATGCCAGGTGAGAAAACACCTCAGAATATAACCTCAGCAAGTTTAAAACAGGACTAAAACATAAATGGAACCCAGTAGAATGTCGATAATCTATCGCAACACCGAGCTTCTGGTGTCATTAAATGCACTCTTCAGCCGGTGGAAAGTGTAGGGAAATCAAGTCGGTACAATAAAACAAAAAAATGGACGAAATCTTTGACGCAGCCACGCTGCGTGTACATAGCAGCAGGAAAACTTGCCTGGCCGTGAATCAGTTTTGCAAACACCCTCATACAATCATTCGATCAGTGATTAACATAAAAACATATCACGTGAAGTTTTCCGTGCGTCTGCCCACGATAATGACAAGCCCGTGCATGGAAAACCACACTGGCCAGTGTTTGCTACCACAGACATTCGCCTGTCTATTAAAATGTATGTCTAAACACGACTCTAAAAACTATATTAAAATGTACTACATGATTCTCAAGAAATGGACGGGGGACTACGTCATAAACTATACTGCTTCCTTTGCAGCGCCACCTATAAGACGTGATGGTCTTCTTATATGGTCAACCTATAGGGTGCGATAGACTATAGGTGTGCAGTATATATAGCAAAGATTTCACGGTTTTCCAACACAGTCATCTGATTAAATGTTACGATTTTACTATAAATCACAACCAACAACTTCACCTTGGCCAGTCGTCACTTACAAACCGGCACAAGTAGCGCGGGTAACAGATCTCTCAAACATGATCATCGGAAACTTTGTCGAGAGACGACAGATGATTGGACCGGACCAGCTCGCGCGCATCACTGTCTGTCGATGGTGTTGAAGAACCACTCGGTGAACTTGCGCAGTTGCGCGGCGGCAGTCTGCGACTCCTCCTGCAGCCGCACGTTGTCCTGCTGGAGCTGCTGAATCTCTGCCTCCCTCTCGGCTCTCTCCTGCCGCTCCTGTAACACACGCAGGAAGGTCATTACATAATCCCGTAATCCCCTTGGGAGGGAAGGAGGGAGGGAGGGAGGGACGGAGGGAGGGAGGGAGGGAGGGAGGGAGGGAAGGAGAGAGTGAGGGAGGGAGGGGCACTGGTAGTCTACCATGGTGCAGACACACTGCTGTCATTAAGGCAATTGAGTGAGGGCAGACAGCACTTCACCCAAACGCATCTTTACGAAGAATTTTTTCATCAACAATGTTTTTTATCGAGCGCACGATTCACTTGTCGTTGACGGAATTTTCATACTCGTATGGACGTTTTTATCGACGAAGTTTTTTGCTCGCGCCGTATTTTTTTCATTCGGCGGCGGAGTTTTTTTTCTGCCGGCGCCGCGTTTCCACGGCAACGTCGCTGCGACTCACCTTGTTAAGCTCCTGCTGCAGCTGCGCAACTCTAAGCTCGAGCTCGTGCTGCCGCTGTGTCGGGTTGGTGCTGGTCGGCCGCCAGGGGCCGCTGCAACACGGAGCAAAAAACACATGAGCATACTTAGTGAAACACAGACGCACGGGAAGCGGTCATCAGCTAACACGATTGATTAAACAATGCGAAAATAAATAAAACAGTAAAGTCACGAAAGAATCTTATGCACACATCGCATAGTGGAGTAGGTATGTGTAAATATAAAAAAGAATTGTGCGCTTTGTGGTAAAAGCACAAAAATGGGCGTGTACGATGTTAAGGGTATACTTAAAGTAACACCCACTGTTTAGAACCAGCCGGTACGACACCGTGGGAACGTGACGTCATCGCTTCGGCTCTCTACGTGCTAGACTGCGGTGGGTTTACTTGCTGACGACGCCTACCTGGTGTAGACTGGAGAGGAACTGAGCCTGCCGGACGCGAGCAGATCCTGAGGTGCCGACGACAACGCCGCCACGGCCTGCCTACTCTCCGCCTCGTATCCCTGGCGGGAGCGCTGCGCATCGTAGTCCTGCAGGGGGCGCTGCTGTGCACTGTACTCCTGCAGGGGGAGCTGCTGCTGCTGCTGCTGTGCGCTGTACTCAGGGATGCGTTGCTGCGCATCGTAGTCCAACACCGGATGTTGTACATCATAGTCCTGTAGGGGGCGCTGTACGTCGTAGTCCTGTAGGGGGCGCTGCACGTCGTAGTCCTTCAGGGGATGCTGTGCGTCATAGTCTTGCAGAGGGCGCTGTGTGTCATAATCCTGCAGAGGGCGCTGTGCATCAAAATCCTGAAGAGGGCGCTGTACGTCGTAGTCCTGTTGTCGAGGTTGCGGCAAGTCGCGCGTCGGGATTTCATCCTGCTTCGCATCGGTCGCCAGCGCCGGCGAAACGTTGCCTGAAACGTGCAGCACATCTCGCTCATATCTGACACTCACTGCTGGAGAGAGGCTAATCCTATATCAAGGGTCTCTGGCCCAATATACCTCCCACATGCTGACTGTATGTATATGCTCACTGATAGGTTGAATGTGCTCACTATAAGGCAACGCATAAATGCTGTAACGATAACAGCGGATGATAACATATGATATCCATAATGCTACCAACGCTGAAACCACAAAACACAGACATATGATGGAAAACTCACACAGGTATGTCAATCATCAAACAAAGACCCCCAGACTTCACTCATTAACGTCACACAGATGTGTGACACAGATGCTACATTTTTCTCATAATATCACCAATTACACAGGTATGTCACCCTTCACACAAGGATGCCACACGTTACACAATGACCCCCATGCTTCATTCAATAATGCCACACCTCACACAATGACCCCTCAAGCTTCATCAATAACGTCACACACAGGGACCCCACACATCATTCAATAACACCACACCTCACACAACGACCCCCCCACACTTCATTCAGTTATGTCACACATCACACACAGGGCCCCTCCAGGCATCAAACCCAGATGCGAAAAACCTCACGCGACAACTCGCACGCGATGACAACAGATCACAGAATCCCCCTAAACGCGCTAAACACGCTAAACTAGCGAGACGCGCTCACTCTGTATGGCCTTGGTCGCCGTCTCGACAAGATTGTTCCAGTCCAGCCCCGCGCCGTCACCGTCGTCCGGCAGCGGCAGAATGCCCTTGCCGCCATTGCGCGCCGACCGGCCCGTCTTGCCACCAGAGGGCAGCGCGGTGAGCGCGCGCGGCGACAGGCGCGACTCCTTGCTCATGAGGGCGCCACTGACGTGCGCGGGCTTCGCCGACGTGAAGAGAACGTCCGGCGGAAACGCGGGCCGGTTCTGCTGCAAGGTGGCGCTGCGGTGCACGCTCTCGTCCGACACGGTGCGCTGCAGCAGCTGCCGGCGGTCGGGCGAGGAGCGCACCTGGTGGCAGAACAAAGCGATAGATGAGCGAGTGAGGGAGAGAGATAGAGAGAGGGGGAGGGAGAGAGAGAGAGAAAGATAGAGAGAGAGAGGTGACGACACGACGGAAGAGGAAGAGGACAGGAAACCGAGGGGGAATGATGGGGAGACAGAGGGGAGCGCCCGACTACCGGAGAAGTACCAACAATGTTCGCAACCACGGGCAGTCGTGTGTGGGGGGGGGGCGGACGGGAAAGACGGGAGAGCCATCGGGAACACAAAACAACACGTTAACCTAAACACATCTAAACCACTCTCGTTAGACAGAATGGCCACGAACATCAAGATCGACCACACGCGCACTAACATCCGAGTTCGGTCGCGCACCTTGTTCTCCTTGTCCTGGTCGGGGAGCATGAGGTCGGGATCGATGAGCCGCAGCAGGTCCTCCTGGAACGTGCTGCTGTTGTGCGTCTTGAGGGCAGCAGGCGAGAGCCGCGTGAGCGCCGTCACGCCGGGCCGCAGCCGCGTCATCTCACCGGTGAGCGGCGACACGTCGCGCGCCGGCCTGCGCAGCGAAACGATCGTATCAGCGTGTTCATCGTCGCGGTGTGTTGCCACCGCACGGGTCGGCATGCATATGTATGTATATATATGTACACATACACGCACGCACGCACGCACGCACGCACGCACGCACGCACACACACACACACAAATATGATAGAGACAGAGAGAGTGAGAGTGAAGAGTGAAGAGTGAAGAGTGAAGGGTGAAGGGTGAAGGGTGAAGGGTGAAGAGTGAGAGTGAGAGTGAGAGTGAGAGTGAGAGAGAAGAGAGAGGAAGAGAGAGAGAGAGAGAGAGAGAGAGAGAGAGAGAGAGAGATGAGAAGAGAGAGAGAGAGAGAGGAGAGAGAGAGGAGAGAGAGAGAGAGAAGAGAGAGAAGAGAGAGAAGAGAGAGAGTAAGAAGAAGAGAGAGAGAGAGAGAGAGAGAGAGAGAGAGAGTTTTATTACTATAAGCGTTAGTTGTTCCAGTTGCGCAACAGCACAGCAGCAACATAGAAGCTAGCACACACCACTACCAGCACCACATGCATAGCATCCAGCTGCAAGCACCTACTATCACGCACGACCACCAACCACACCAACACACCACCAAGCAGCAAGCAGCAGCAGAGGCAAAGCACAACAGTAGAAAGCATGCACTACCCTTACAGCACGACAGCAGCAGCATCCGCTGCAACACCATATCACCATCCACCACACTTACCACCGACCCCACTCACAAACCACCAACCACCACCACCACCACCACCGAATCCGACACCAAACAGGCAGCAGCAGCAGGCAGCAGCTACTAACGACTACCACACGGCGATCAAATAGCACATACATCAGGCAGAGCAGCAGGCACAGGGCAGGCAGCAGCACTACGACTACAAGCACGCAACGGCAGCCTAGCAGCAGCACCACCAGCAAGGCAGGCAGAGAACACCACCACACGCGACCAGCAGCAGGCAGGAGCAGCACCACCACCAACCACCACCACGCAGCGCGAGCAGCAGCAGCACGCAGAGGCAGCACACGACTGACCGACCGACCAGCAGCAGCATAGCCGAGGCAGCAGCAGCAGCAGCAGCAGGAAACGATACCACCACCACGCACAGCAGTAAACGCACACAGCACAGCAGCAGAGGCTTCACACACCACCGACCACGCGACCAGCAACCGCGCGCGCCACACCAGACGAGCTTAGGGCAAGCAGAAACACCAGCACGACCACCACACCACCACCAGCAGCAGTCAGAGTAGAGCAGGAGCCTACGACTACACACCACCTGACGGCCAGCAGCAGCCCCCACCGACCAGTAGCGAGCAGCAGCAGCAGCATCAGCCGCAACATGGCACCACGACCACCGACCACTCTTACAGCAGGGCAGCAGCTAATCAGCACAAGTAATAGCATGAGCCTACGACTACCACGCACACGGCTAGCAGCACACCACCACTCACCTCAGCCACCACCGCACCACCTCTAACCCCATCACCGACCAGCAGCACCACCGGACCACTACAGCGCAGTCACACAGCCACCACCACTAGCAGCAGCAGCAGCAGAGGTCAGACAGGCAGCCAACACACGCAGAGCAGCAAGCAAGAGCACGCACGCACGCAGCAGCAGAGCAGCACCACCACTGAGCAGCATCATTACCACGGGGACCAGGCAGGCAGCAGCAGCACACCACCACAGTCAGCAACACCACGCACCCGCACAGGTCAGCAGCAGCAGCACTCACCACCACCACCAGTCACAGCAGCAGCAGGCAGCAGGAGTCAGCAGCAAGAGGAGCACTACGACTACCACCACCGCAGCAGCTGCAGCACCGGCAGCATCAGCACTTACCGTGTTGGCGTCGGCTTCGGACTGGCACTGTTGCGCGCCAGAGTCTCCAGGTAAAGACGTTTTTGGTGTGAGAGATTTCTCCGACTTCCTCTACTGCTCCCGCTGCTGTCCTTGTCTGCAAACACCGAAAACATCATGTAAACCTACGCGCCCAATTATTGCTATATTAGAATTGTAATAATACCTATCCAAAAGTTTTGGTTCATGTTTTTGTAATTTGGTTTTTTTTGCATTTCAAAATTGTAGTATGTTGCGTGTACCATAATTATATACGGTAACGACGCCATAGTGTGGCAGCACCATTGCTAGCAAGCACATGAATATTTCTGCCCGCGAACCGTATGAATATTTACACTTAGTGTACCAAATATATACTATAAATAGTATCACGGTTTAACTGGCATGCCGCGCGCGTGAGTGACGTGCCGCAAAACGCCGTTTTTTCGGAGCTTTTTGCATTTCGTTTATGTGCGCAGCTGGGTCCTGGCAACAGTGGCAAGTGGGTGATTGTTGGACTGGTGTGTAGACTGACTGCTCACCGATGAAGCCAGTGCTGAGCTCACCATCGTCGCAGGTGTCGTACCACTTCTCGTCGACCAACGGCCGTCCATCATGACCTGTCTCGAGTGCTGGCTGGCCACGTCCGTTCAGCTGCAAAAATACAGACAGGATGACGCTCGGCGGCTGCGGCGGCAGTCTCGGTTCATGAACAGGTTCTAACGTTCGCCGATACCAGCCCTGGCAAGAACATTTGCTGCCCCAGCCCTGCCACGAACACTCGCCTGCCCCAGTCCTGCAGCTGAACACTGGCTGCCCATCCCTGGCCAAGCTGACACTGGCTCCCGCCGCCAGTCCTGTCCAGCTGAAGCACTGCTGCCGGTCCAGCCCTGCAGCTTAGCACTGCTGCCCCACCTTGCCAGCTTAGCACGCCTGCCCCAGCCTGCACTTAGACTGGCTGCCCAGCCTGCCTTGCTTGAGCCTGCCGAGCTACATTGCTGCCGCGCAGCCCTGCCAGCTGAACACTGCTCCACCCTGCCAGATTAGCACTGCTGCCCCAGCCTCTGCCAGCTTAACTACTGCCACCCAGTCACTGCAGCAATTAGCACTGGCCTGCCGCAGCCGTGCGCAGCTAGTCACTCGGCCTGCCGCCAGCCTGACCTGCTGTACTCTGCAGCCTACACAACTGCCTGCCCGCACCTGCCAGCTGACACTGCTGCCCCCCGCGCCAGCCTAGCACCTGCCTGCCCCAGCCTGGCCAGCTTAGGCACTGGTCCTGCCCAGCCTGCCACTTAGCACTCGCTGCCCCAGCGTCTTCTGCCAGCTTAGCGACTCGCTTGCCGCCAGCCTGCCTGCGCTAGCCTGCGCAGCTTAACATGTCGCGCCAGCGCCTGGCCAGCTTGATACACTGCCTGCCCAGCCTGCAGTGAAGACGGCCTGCCCCCAGCCTGCCAGCTTATAGCACTGCATGCCCCATGCCCTGCTAGCTTTTAGCACTGCTGCCCCCGCCCCGTCAGCTTAGCACTGCGTGCCCAGCCCTGGGCCAGTCTTAGCACTGCCGTGCCAGCCCTGCTCTGCTGTAGCCCTGCCAGCTTAACATTAGTCTGCCCCCGCCCGCTGGCCACTGAACCTTTGCCTGCGCCAGCGCTGCCACTTAGGCACTGCTGCCCAGCCCTGCAGCTGAACACTTGCTCACCACCAGTCATTGGCCAGCTTAGGCACTCGCCTGCCCCAGCCCTGGCCAGCCTTATGGCACTGTCCGTGCCCAGCCTGCTGCGTAGCTTGCCAGCTTAACACCTGCCGTCCCAGCCTGCCAGTGAACACTGCCTGCCCCAGCACTGCAAGCTTAGACTGCCTCCCAGCCGTCTGCAGCTTTAGCAGCTGTGCCTGGCCCAAGCCCCTGCCAGCTTAGCACTGCCTGCCCCAGCCCTGCCAGCTTAGGCACTGCTGCCCACAAGCCTGCCTGCTGTACTTGCCAGCTTAAATTGCTGCGCCCAGCCCTGCGAGCTGAACACTGCCTGCCACCAGCCGTCTGGCCAGCTTAGCAGCTGCCTGCCCAGCCGCGTGCCAGCTGAACACTCGGCCACCCGTCCCGCCAGCTTAGCAACGGCCTTGCCCAGCAGCCCTGCAGCTTAGCATCTGCCTCCCCGAGCGCGCTGCTGCTGAGCACCTGGCCAGCATTAACCTTGCTGCGCCCAGGCCCTGCAGCTTTACATTGCCTGCCCGCGCCTGCCACTAGCATGCCTGCCCCAGCCTGCACTGCTGTAGCCTGCCAAGCGTATACACTGCTCGACCCAGTCCTGCCAGCTAGCACTGCTGCCCAGCCCTTGCCAGCTTAGCACTGGCCTGCCCCAGCCTGCACTGAACACTGCCTGCCGCCAGCCGCTGCCTGTAGGCCCCTGCCAGCCTTAACACTGGCCTACTCCCATGTCCTCCAACTTATGCACGCTCCCAGTCCTGCTGATGTAGCGCCTGCCAGCTAACACTGGCCAACGCCATCTGCAGCTTAGGACTGGCCTGCCCAGCCCTGCAGCTTAACACTGCCATACGTAGCTTCTGCTAGCCTTAACATTGCCGTGGTCCCAGCCCTGCCTAGCTTTCATTGCCTCCCAGCCCTGCCAGCTGAAACATGCCATGCCCCAGCCCTAGCCAGCTGAACATGTGCCTGCCTCCAGCCCTGCCAGCTTAAGCACGGCGCTACCGACAGCCTGTCCAGCTGAACATTGGCTCCCGCAGCCGCGCCGCCACTGAAACAATTGCCTGTCCAGCCCGCCGCACTGACATTGCCTGTCCCAGCCCTGCACCGCTGAACACTGGCCTGCCCCAGCCCTCTTGCCTGGTGTATGGCCCTGCCAGCTTAACAGCTGGCCTACCCAGTCCTGCCAGCTAGCAACGCTGCTGTACCTGACCTAGCTAACACTGCTGCCCCATCCTGCCATCTTACACAATGCCTGCCTTCTAGCCACTGCCAGCTTAACACTGCTGCCTCAGCCCTGCAGCTGTAGCCAGCTGCTAGCTAACACTGCATGCCCTCAGCCCTGCCAGCCTGAAACTGCTGCTGTAGCTCTGCAGCTGAACATGCTGGCCCGCACCGCACTGCCAGCTTAACATTGCCTAGCCCGCAGCCCTCCAGCTGAATATTGCCTACCGCCAAACCTGCCAACTGAAACATTGCCTTGTCCCAGCAACTGCCAGCTTCCATGGTCTACCCCAGCCCTGCCAGCTGAATATTGCCTACCCAACCCTGCCACTGAACATTGGCTATCCAGACGCCTGCCACGAATATTGCCTACCCCAGCCATGCCAGCTGAATAGCTACCCCTAAGCTGCCTACTGAAATCATTGCTTTCCCAGCCCGGCACTGAATATTGCCTGCCCAGCCCGCCAGCTGAACATTCGCTGCTCAGCCCTGCCAGTGAACAGCATGCCTGCGCCGGCACTGCAGGCTAACATTGCCTGCCTCAGCCCTCAGCTGAACATTGCTGCCGCCAGCCCTGCCACTGAACATTTGCCGTGCCCCAGGCCCTGGCCAGCTGAAGCTTGCTGCGCCAGCCTGCCAGCGAACATTGGGCCTACCCATACCCTGCAGCTGAACATTGCCTACCCAACCCTGCAGTGAATATGGCCGTACCCCAGCCTGGCCACTGAATAATTTTTTTATGCCGTACCCCACTTCCAACTGAACATTGCCTGTCCAGCCTCTAGCTGAACATTCGCCGTGCCCAGCCTGCCAGCTAACATTGCCTAACCCAACCTGCCCAGCTAATATTGCCGACCCCAGCCCCCTGCAGCTGAAATTGCATGCCCAGCCGTCTGGCCAGCTGAACATTGCCTGCCGCCAGCCCTGCCAGCTTGAACATTGCCCTGCCCGGAGCCTGCAAGCTGGAAATTGCTGCCCAGTCCCTGCCAGCTGAAAATTGCCTGCCCAGCCTGCCAGCTGAAATTCGAGCTGCCCACAGCCCTGCAGTGAACCTGCCTGCCCCAGCCCGCCAGCTGAACACTGCTGCTGTGCGCTGCCACTGCCGCCAACACTCGATTTAGAGTTCGATACGTACGCTGCTGCTTCAGTGCAGCTCGCCGATCGGCGGCATTGTATTTCAGTCCACGTCTCGTCCTGCGGCTCGCGACGTTAGTGTGGCGACCGGGGACTCGCGCGTGCCCCGCCGTGGCGGCGCGGCAGCAGCGGGCGGCGTGCCCGCGTCCCAGGCCTGAGCCTCCCTGCAGGAACTGTCCTTCCCCGGAACCCTGCCGGGAGCTGAAGCCTTCCGATGACTTGTAGGAGACGTGACCTGCAGAACGGAGCGCCGCGCGGATTGTTAAAAAGCCCCACTCGTGCATATCCGTGATCTCAACACCACCCCCCCTGCGAACAAACTTACAGAACGCGAGCACGCGCTGTAGCCCCACTCGTGCATATCCATGATCCCCCCCCCCTGCGTACAAACTTACAGAACGCGAGCACGTGCCGTAGCCCCACTCGTACATATCCGTGATCTCACAATCCCCCGCATACAAACTCGGCTAAGACATGTGCTCTAAACATGTGCTGTCGCCTCGGTTCACTTATTCGTACATATACCTGCTCTCATTACCCCGCGTACAAACTCGGCTGAGCGATATAAATGACACTATAGCTCACCTTGGGTGTGATAGAAGAGGGAGATGATATTTAAAATTTGGTAAAGGTTTCATTTATGACGGACCGAAATATGACCAGATGTCCTTATTCCCTGTTTTATACTAATAGAAATTTTACTATTTTGTTTCAGGGTTACTTTTGATGTGAAAATAAATGTTTCAGATCTGAAGTCTGAAATCTGGGCGAGAGATGGCGCTATGCCTAAATGATCGGCATTTTGGTTTTCGATTATCGCGCAAATTAAAGTAATAAAATATTCCAGTCAAATTACTGTAACGAAGAATCTAAAACACAATATTACACGTAGGTATGATTAGGTAGGTAGGTAGGTAGGTAAATTAAACAAAATCGAATGAATCTTGATGGCCATTTCCATTTTTGCCAAAAAGTGGGCGTGGCTCGAAAGTAGGTCGACTGGCGTGCTCCAAAATAGGACGTTCAAATCTCTCCCATAGGAGTAACAACTGTATGCAATTTGAAACACGTGGTTAAAACAGTTCTTGAGTTATCGTTGACCGTAGGCAGACACTGAAATGCATTTCCAAAATCAACCTAATTTGCATAATTAAAAAAAAAATCAAAACCCGTGTGATATGTTTTGGGGCCAGTCCTTATTCATTTACATACCAAAAATGAGCAAAATCCGTTGAACCTGAACTGACTTAAGGCCATTTCCATTTTTACCAAAAAGTGGGCGTGGCTCAAAAGTAGGTTGACTGGCGTGCTCCAAAATAGGACGTTCAAATCTCTCCCATAGGAGTAACAACTGTATGCAATTTGAAACACGTGGTTCAAACAGTTCTTGAGTTATCGTTGACCGTAGGCAGACACTGAAATGCATTTCCAAAATCTACCTAATTTTGCATAATCAAAACCCGTGTGATATGTTTTGGTGCCAGTGCTTATTCATTTACATACCAAAAATGAGCAAAATCCGTTGAACCTGAACTGACTTATGGACATTTCCATTTTTTTCCAAAAAGTGGGCGTGGCTCAAAAGTAGGTTGACTGGCGTGCTCCAAAATAGGACGTTCAACTCTCTCCCATAGGAGTAACAAGTGTATGCAATTTGAAACATGTGGATCAAACGGTTCTCAAGTTATCGTTGACTGTAGCCAAATGTTGACGGACGGACGGACGGACAGACGTACAACGAACGACGCCCCATGACAATAGCTCATCTTGACGATGTCAAAGTGAGCTAAAAACTAGCACTAAAGCCGCATGTCACGATGGCATCACTCGGGCATGTATCCATGGTTACTTACATAGCGGCAGCTGTACGCATTTATTATTAATTATCGTTATGATCAGGAGTAAACTCTCGATCGCGGATAGACGTTAGATTAATCAGGAAGGAGAGATGTGCCCACTGGCAGCATGAATACTGTGTGAAGGATAAGGGACAGGCTGGCTCACCTCTACGCCCTGCGTGACGGCTACAAGCCGCTGACATATCTCCTTCACCTCGTCGACAATGTCATGATCGATGGTCCTGATGACAACACACTCACCGTGCCGGTAGTAGATTCTCAAACTGCAGCCGAGAGAGCAACCATTACTAGCAGCAGCCACAACGTTATGACAACATTGAATTATGGTATATGACAGTCGCATTGCGAGTGTAATCCATATGTAATCCATATCCGAGCGTAAATATAACGCCTGTGGTTACGCGCACATGCGTCTAAACAAAGGAATTGCTCCGACCGGCTGTGATTTGGAGGGAATAAAAAATGACCCCGCCCACGTCTCTGCGCCGAATACGCTATGCATGACCTGGTAAGAACGTGTACAACAATGATATGAGAGCAACGATTGATTACATTGTCTATATACATTCAGCTTATACGACACATGTCTTAGCCTATGTCCTGTGAATTTTGAAGTCTCAGTGAACGCGATTAGTCTAATTAATTAGCAAATATGCAACGCGTGTCAGCTATGACCCGGTGAAAGAAACGTCACGAAATTATTTTATCATCTCCCAAAGAATCGAAAAGTGTGTGGGGGTAATATTTTATCCTCCAATCTGCAGGTCGGAGCAATTCTCCGCTGTTTAGACGCAATGTGTTACGGCCGACACGTTCCATCCATGACAAAGCTACATACAGATCCAAATCCAGCGTCCACGAATTAAGGCCTACAACCCCTTTCTAACTCGTGTGCTTTCCTGGATTAAACGACTTGGCTTCAAAAGTACAACAATAAAATCTTTTTGAATAAAATACTACCCAATGCAAGTAAGTATTAATGGTAAAAACTTATTGGTTATTTGTTATTTACCTGGCAAAATATACGTTGGGTTTCACATAAGAATATAACTCGGACAGCGTACCTGGAGCTGGGCGTCCGTAACACTTTATATTCCGCATGTGACTATCCAATTATACGTGTTTAATGAGGATGAATGATCGAGAAGGCGGTAACGAGCGACTGCAACGTCGTATTTCTTATCAGCCGGGTATAATAAATCGGACTGGCTTTTTAATCAGTCGAACGATAGTATGGATGTACAGTCTGCCGTTATAATAGAATGTCGTACGCGCCTACACGGGTAAAGGCTTCGTCGCCTCAGAGCAAAATGTCGGCTGTAAATACAATTGGCCGCCCAGC